GTGTTATATTGGAACACTCAAAAATCTGAAACAATGATTAAACAGAGTTTGGAAGCACAAGAAGGAAATTTTGCTACATCATGAGAGTGCTAGGTTTCCTACCTCATGAATCACCCAAGAGGCAAATACAAAGTTGGATCTCATGATCTTATCCCATCTTCCATATGGTCCAGGCTTGGTGATATGTAACCTCCATCCTTTCCCCAAATTGAAGGAATACCTTTGTGACTCAAATGAAGAAGTGAAAAGAACTATCAAGACCTGGTTGAAGAGGCAAAGCGTGGAGTTCTTTCTGGATGGCTTTAAGACCCTTGCCCTTCACTGGGACAAGTGTGCAGTGAATAGTAAATACAGGTAACAAAAGAGCTCATTTCAAGGATTATTCTCCTGTTTCATCTATTTAAATATCCCTATTTAAATTAAAGTTATGGAGGTGCAGACTTTATTCTTATTTAAAATATTTTTTTATCCCACCTTTCTTATTTTTTTATAAATAACTCAAGGTGGAGAAAATATCTAATACTCCTTCCTCCTCCTGTTTTACCCATAACAACAACCCTGTGAGGTAAGTTGGGCTGAGAGAGTGTGACTGCCCCATAGTCACCCAGTCAGCTTTCATGCCTACGGCGGGACTAGAACTCACAGCCTCTTGGTTTCTAGCCTGGTACCTTAACCACTAAACCAAACTGTACACAATGAACAGCTAATGAAGAATAATGGCTAGAAGAGGAGTAGGCAATTTTATACTCTCCAGGTATTTTGAACCTGATCCCCTATCAGCCTGACCAAATGGAGCTGTACTGTGGAAGGTATTAGATTAACTGTCATAACCTAGAGTTAGGTAAAGGAGAACCAGAGAGACTCAGGTCTGAATCACCACTTTGCCTTGAAGGTCATGCGTAACCAAGAACAAAGGAGTACTTCTTAATCTAATACATTTCACAGAATTACCCCTATAAAAGGATAAAAGAAGAAAAGAATAGACCATTTCCTGAGCAATGTAGATTAAAGATAGACTATTGGTTAATTAGATTCTCCTAAAGACAGCAGAATCATAAAATCTTATCCTTAATTGTTCATTTTAGACATTCGTGAGTGATATCCAACAATATCCAAGTTAATTCAGTTCATGCAATATACCTTCTCCTAGTTCTCCTCTTGTCTTGTACCTCACTTGCATACCCTATCCTGAAATCTGTTACGGTCAATTCCCAGAACTCCCCACAGCAGATAATGGGGATATGCAGGAAAGGAAGAAAGTAAAGAAAAACCTGCTTTTACAGAATTTCAGTTCTGTTGGCAGACAGGTGTCTTTGTAAACTGTGCATTTACCACTGAAATGCACAGAAGCAATGTTTCCCAAAAAGTTACACAAGCTGAAATTCTGAAGGTACTTACAGCTAAATGACCAAATGTAGAAATAGATTTCTTTTTGGAGCACTGGGAAGATCCACCATCTTTAGAAAGAAAAAATACTAATAGAGAAAACATTGCTTTTTCAGTAAGGATGCTTAGATGGGGGGAAAAATAATCTGCCTCCTTCATCATATTCTCAACAATTCCCGTACAGATAAAGCAGCACATGAATTTTTGGAAACATTGTTCATTAATAATATGAACTCAATGCAGAATTTTTAATTGTGTTACATAGCAGAATATTCAGACAAACATCACGTATACCAATATTACTGGGAAACAAAAAAAGATGGGACATTAAGAAGTTGAAAAAGAAAAAAAAACCTTCAGTTTGTCAACAGATCTAACTGTCCATATTTAAGAAAATAATGTACACAATACAAAGACTTACATACTTCTATAGTACTAAACATGTAGAGAAATAGAAATTGAAAAAATTCTTTATGGAAAATAAAGTACATAAAAGTGCTACTATCTGTAATACATGCATTCACAAAGACGAAGTTAAAATAGCAACCTTCCTACTCTTAAACAGCCATGAAAAGAGCAAAGATTCATTACCTTATATATATTTAATACTGCTTCCTATACAAAAACATCATTGTGCTTTACAAAATATAAAATGCACAATAGTAACAATTTAAATCTTATTTTAAAAAAAGGATGGTGGAAAAGTAAACAAAATTAATAACAACACCTCATGAATCCAAATTCATATAGAATTTCAGGGGAGAGAAAATTCCAGAATGTAAGCACCACCATAATGAAAGCCTATAAGAAATTACAGACAGCATTTTGTAACTCTATCTACATGCAATAGTACCTATCTGGATGAACTCAGAAATCAACTATATGACAAAGGCAGTCAATCAGTTGTTTTGGTATCAAGCTGTTTAAGGGCTTATACATCATAAGCAAAACCTTGAACCAACTAACTGGCTATGGACTTGTATCAAAGATCTGCATCCCTGCAGCTACAGCAGCATCCTAAAAAGGACCAGAGCATGAACAGGCAGTCCCGCAACACTTAGCTTTGTCTACTGCTTCACTGAAAACTCTTGATGCAATCAGGATGAACCACATGGTACACAACCTAGAGGTTACAGATGGGACACAGAGAATTGCAACACAGATGCGGCCTACCACAGGAAAGTAACGCAGAGACCAGCTTCTTGGAAGCAGAAATTATTCTTACTATAAATCCTGAGAAGACCAGAAGGCCCCTCAGAAATAGTAGCAAGTCTAATTCAGGATTTTATACGTGCAGCCAAAATTAACAATAATCAGGTTTTAGAGCTAGCTGAAGAGAGACAAACCACTTCTCCTGGAACTGGGACTGTTTTGTCAAATCTTAAGTTCAGCTACAAAAACAAAATAAAGCATAGTGGAGCCTCTGGACAAAATGAAATTTAAGAAGAGAGCAACAGTATGAGACAGGATACCAAGAAAAATATATTTCTCACTCAAAAAGATAACAGAAATATTAAAAAATACATTCCATACACTGGAGGAAGCAATAGTACCACCGTACATTATTTGCATAAATATGGATTTATATCTTATTTCAACATCAATGTTTAGCATATAACCTGGGAGAGCCAGATAGGTTCGAAACAGAGAAGCAACAATTTAAAAAATACGTAACTATGACATACTTTATTGTATCTATTTATTTTATCAGTAAAGTAGATTTTTGCATCAGCCACCATATATATTGAAAATAATAGCACATAGCACCTGAGCTATATATTACTGACTCTTTAATTTGGAAAATAACTGTTTCACAATGAATATATATTTCCACTCTACAGCCATGCGTATCAGGTATAATAACCCTGAATATACATATCTATACAGTAATCAATAGCATGCTGAGAAGCAAACAACGGAGCTTTCAGATATTTTGCACAGATATTTAAATACCTTGTGCATGATCATTAAATTCCAAAATTCAGTTCATGTAAAATTCGTATAGCTTTAATACTGATAACACTTACATGGAAGTAAGCTCCACTGAACCTAGTTGGGCTAGCTTCCAAGTAAACATGTATAGGATTTGGCTGTAAAGAGGAATGACACTCCAGTCCAAAATAAGAATGAGCCAATGCACTTAAAATAGCACTCACTGAAACTCAGACTGAACTAATGGCAACAACAGCTAAACAGATAACACAAAAATAACCTTATATAATGTGAAGAAATTACCAAGCAATTATGTCTTAAAATGTTAAAGGAAAAACCTAGTTTTGCACTGAGCACTAGACAGATGAATAACTTACGTCAAGCATTACATAGAGAAGACAAAGTTTACTTTTGTATCACCAGAGTGTGGATCCCTAGCTTATTTCCAAGTAAGTTATAGTTTAGATTAAAACAACACGCTTTAACAAACTTTGATAACACACCACTAATTACAATACCCTCCTTTAAAGGATATTAATTCTGAACTTATGTCAAAAGACCTCTGCCATTCTTAATTACTAGCAGATTATATTTATACACACATATAAACCACTGTGTGTAGAAAATCGCTTAGCATTGTAGAAAAACTTTACTACAGATTATCATGTACACTGTTGCGAGTTATTAACAATCTGCAAAGCTACTCTCTAAAAGAAAGGGTAGGTGCAAAATTTTGTCAAATGCATTATGCTACTGCCTGTCCTTGTTCTCCCCTTGAGTCTCAAAACAAGATCCTGAAACAGAATTTAAGACTACCAAAACACTTACTCCTATCTTACTAGAGAAATAACATTGATTGTGGTATTGATCTATGTGTCATTCCATATACAATCCTATTTTATATAATTTTCAGTGCAGTTCATTTCTGCTAAAAACTGCCAGGGTGGAATATATGCAAATCAGCTATTATGAAATCTATCTGTTTTAACTGTGAAAAATTATTTTTATACATCAATACTTTTCTCCATATTTAAACAAAACACACAGGAAGAAACATTTTATTTTTGCTCTATCTTTGATTCTCCTACTACTATTCTCTCTCTGTTCAGTATGTACCAAAAACAATAAATTATTCTATATTATAATTATGACAGACTGGAACTGCAGATAACACTGTAAATCTCCTGAATGATATGCTGTCACCTTCAAGAGAGCATTCCGTATTTTTCTCTTACTCACGTCATTAATCCTTGATGTTCACATGACTTGCTGGGCATCAGTCAGCAAGGGAAAAACTGTTCTGCACAGGTGCATCTAGCAGCCCCCAGAATCAGCAAAAGGCTATCTAATCTTAAATCTCTGTTAGGGTGAATGGATTTCATACTTTCCTGTGCAGGAATACCCTCCCATCCATTCTGGGAGTACATCTCTCCACATCAACTTATTTGTCAAGAACCTTTTACAAAGATAGACTTAACATGTTTCTCAATTTATATAATCAAAACTTGGTATTAGGACTGTGTCTTCTGTACAGCTACAGTTTCTACAAATCAGCAGTCAGACTGCTTACAACGCTAAGTCATCAGGACAACTTGACTTGCACCGGGTCATTCTGTATCCCTAGCACCAGCTATCTTCTCCCAGCCCAATTCAGCATGGAGATAAAAAATACACTGTCTTACCTTGATGATGCTGGTTTTCCTGGGAATACCGGACTTGCCTTCTGGATGCAGGGTGGAACATCCTCTCTCTATGGCAGGGCTGCCAGGTTGGGGAGATTCTAGGTGTTCTCTGTTTCCCACCAGAGCACAGTCTCCATTGGAGACCCCATTGCGAGCACTGTCCAAGTGGATTCTTGCAACACCACCACCACCTCCTCCTTCCCCATCACCTGCTTTGAAAGCCACCTTTCCATGTGCCAAATTTGGGGAGGAGGTTATCCTCCCACCACTAGTGCCTCCCCCTCTGCTGCCAAACTCCGCCATCGGTCTCTCTGGTTCTAAAGAAGCAATACAGTATTGCGATTTTCCTGCTTTTCTCCTTCCTTCTCCACCTCCTGCAGCAGCTCAGTGATGATGGTTGTGCTTCTCCTTCTGCTTTTTTCCCCCGACACAAAAGATCTGAAGAGATGAGTGGCCAAACTCTCCTCTCTCCTTTTGTAGTTCAAACTGCAAAGTGCTTGAGACACCTCTGAGATCTACACATACCTGGGAAAAAGAAAGGGGGAAAAAAAGAGAATATAACAGAACAATCTGCTCTTAAATTAAGCTCCCAGAAAGGTTCATAACTTAAAATATTAAGCACCACATGCACAGAAGATGAGGAAGGAGGAAGCAATGAAATGCAACAATCAGACGCATTTAGCAACACACAGAGAAAGGTGAATGCTAAGAGCCCTTCCCGGCACAACAAAGAAGGTCTCTCCAAAGGAAGGAGAAAGGGGGGAGGAAAAACAAAAATCGCAACCCCCCACAAGAAACTGGAGGCGCTCTTGTGCGGTGTACGAGGCAGAGCAGCCCTGCAAAAGATAAACGCTGCTGTTAGCAGTTCACGTTTTCAAGTTCGAGGCAACGGGAGTATTTTTGCAATGGAAAAGCCAAAGGAAAATACTTAAGATAGAAAGCGGTAAGGCACATTCTGACAACTGGGAAGCATCGCCTTTCCCCTCCCAACACATCGACAAACACACACCGCGCGGCTACCGGTCTCTGGTTTTCAGTTCCCCCATCCCTGTTCTGGTTTATTGCGCGCAAGGGCCAAGCCCTGCCCTTTTGTACCCGCTACCGTCCACGCCCGCCGCGCGCTAGCTCTGAAATGCTCACCTATTCCCGCTCAAGCCCGTTATCCAGGCGTCCGAGGGGCAGAGGGCGCGCGCACGTATGTACACATCTTCACCCAGAAAGAGAGCTCGGCCGACCGCGCCGAATGAGCGGGCGGATCTGCCTCTGCGTTTCCACGCGGAGAAACATCTCTTCCGACAGCAACAACTGCACGGAGCCTGCCCGCCCCGGCGCAGTCCCCTCTTCTTCCGGCAACAGGGCGCCCACGTGCCACAATCTGCCTGCACTTCTCTCAGCCTGCACTTCCCCACCTCCTCCGTTTTCCAGCCCGTCACACCGGACAACTCTTCCGCGCCTGTACCGTGTCCCCAAATCCCGCCCCCGCAAACATACCCCCGCAGCACCACCCAGTGCTCGGCTCTGGGCTACTTCTGACTTTTACCACCGCCCATTTCCTTCCCTTTCCCACCCGCCCCAAAATAACACACCTCCACAAGGTGAGGGAAGTCCCTACGGCTGGCTTCGCTGCTCTTCCTCTGGCCTCGATAGCAGCACCAGCAGCAGCAATCGCGGCTTCCTCTCCCTTCCCGCCTCTGCCTGAAGCCGGATACGCGCACAGCGACAGATTCATGGGGCTCGCTAGGAAACTAGCGGGAAGAGCGCAAGACAGGAGCCTAGGCAAAGCGAGGCGGGGGGGGCAACCCCCCGGGCAACAGCCGGCTCCAGTCCTGTCTGCTTGCGCCGCGTGGGGGCCGAGCGGCGGGCG